CGTTCTTCAGAGTCCACTGTCTTGGACTGTAGGTCCAGCTGTCCCTGGAGAGAGGAGGGAGCTGGCCCAGTCTTGGTCGGCTGCTCAGTGTGGAGGAGGAAGCCCACAGGAGGGTGGGCCAGGTCTGGCTCATTCTTCCCTGGATGGTTCCCACCTACTGCTTACATTTAATAGGAATTTACGTCAATGGGGAGAGGAGTCACCAGAAAGAGCCCTCTGATGCTCTGCTCCTGACCCACCAGCCAATAAAAAACTTCAAACTGGCCCTGGCATCCAGCCCTCCCCTTGCTGCCGAACCTCCATCCCTGGAGCACAGACAAGGGCTGGGCTTTCACATTAAGGAAATTTCCACTCCCCAAAGACTGTAGTGGAAACTAAGCAAAATCGCATTTGCAAAACTGCCCCACAAATCACAGAGCCGAATGTGTATGCCGGAGGGAAACGGAGGCCAACATCGGGGGGTTGCTTCGGTCAGACCTTTCTTTTTCCTGGATACCGATTTCTCAGGGTGGTGCTAATTATGAGAGACAGGGGAGCCCTCCTTTCACATCTGGAACGGGCTGGGAAATATTTTTCTCGTCCATGGTTTCTAGGGCCCCAGCAGATGGAATCATTTATCTAAAAGTTCCTGCCATTAGCATCGAGTAAACTCCATCTGATGCCTCTGGAGACAGAGCTGGGCTTGTGGCTCAAGAGCTCACCTTGGATGCTACCTAGCAACTAACAGGAATCGCAATCTCCTAAGACTTCAAACAGAAACCCAGTTGCAGCAATAAACTCTGTTTACAGCATTCTAGGGGCTGAGAAGTGTTGAGGAAAAGCGGGTTGCCAAAGAAACCAAAGAGTTATTCTTTTTCTTTTTCTTTTCTTTTCTTTTTTTTTTGTTTGTTTAACCTGAACATAAAAAATCAGCAGCACCGTATGAATCACCATCTGGCCCTGACCAGGAGGCCTCAGAAGAAGCCCAGGGACCCAGAGCGGCCGGCTGAGCCCTCAGGGGCAGATCCTCTTCCAGCCTGAAGCCCTGGCTTGCTTGGTGCGAGAATTTTATTTTCTTCTCTCAGGTTTCCTTTTCTCACTCATTTTCTAAACTTGTTCACCTCTAATTTCTTTCTGGGCATCGTTCAACTTGTTTCTCTTGATGGTTCACTGTCTCTCTCCCTCTTTTTTCTTTTTAGGAAATGGATCTCTTGATTTCCTCTCTTCCTTTCTGCTTCCTGAGACTGTTGACCATGATCTCACAGGTGCTCATGTTTAGCAAACGTGCCCCAAAGTGCCCCTGGCCCCCAGCCCTGCAGCCCCAGCGCCCTGTGGTCTAGGTGGGAAGCGGTGGGGTGGCCTGGCATGTAAGGTGTGGCCATGGGAGAGACTACTTGGGTCCTTTTCTCTTTCACCTGACAGTCATACCTCCATGGCTGCTCGTTCTCTCAGCAGACATTAATTGCCACACTCGTGTGTACTGAGCAGTGTTTAAGCCCCACTGCACGCCGACTCTGGGATAGACGGCCTAGTTCGAATCCTGGCTCCATCACTGACCAGTTGTGTGACCTGGGGCAAGTTCCTTCCACTCTCTGTGCCTCAGTTTCACCAATGACCTGAGGGTGATCACAGAAATATCTTATTCATGAAGATTCAATGCCGTCATGTTGGAAATCATTTAGTGGAGGGTCTGGCACTTGATAAGCATAATATAGGTGTTTGTTGGGTGAAAGTAGCCCACTGTGGGTGCTGAGAAGACAAGGATGTCCTTGACCTCGTGGAACCTTCCCGTGGAGCCAAGAGATGAACAACAAGCAGGAACGAATAAATGATGTAACTGCACTGTCACAAGGAACATTAAACTGGTGGCAGCGTAGAGTGGTAAGTTGCAGGTGGGGACTGGAGCAAGTGTCATGCTAAGTGAGGAGGCTGTGCGGCGGGGGGGGGGGGTATCTACGCAGGCCCCGTGGCCACGAGGACCAGTCGGAGCCATCAGGGGCATGGAGCTGGGCACAGGAATCACAAGTGTCAAGGGCTAGGACGTTGGGGGGCAAGAAAGGTGGGTGTGGCAGGAACATGGTGCCCAGTGAGAACAAAGACGGAGACCGAGAGGCAGGTCCTGGGGACCCATGAGTCCCAGCAAGAAACTGAGAGTCTTGTCTTTCTTTTTTTGTACAGGGAATTGAACTCAGAGGTGCTTAACCACTGAAGCCACATCCCCAGCCTTTATATATATATATATATATATATATATATATATATAAAATTTAGAGACAGGGCCTTGCTAAGTGGCTGAGGCTGGCTTTGAACTCGCGATCCTCCTGTCTCAGCCTCCCACGCTGCTGGGATGACAGGCACAAACCACCATACCCAGCGAGATTCTCTTCTCATGACAGCAGGAGCTGGATTAGTTTTTTGGGGCTGCAGGAGCAAATCTCCCCACTTCATGGCGACCTACAGCCATAGAAACGCATCCTCTCATTGTTCTGGAGGTGAGTGGAGTGGGGGGTCATGGCATTGGCAGGGTTGTAGCCTTTCTCTGTCCTGCCTCTTCCAGCTTCCAGTGGCTCCGGGCACTCCTTGGCTTGTGGCCTCACCCTCCCCTCTCATCTCTGCTTTGGCTTCCCTATGTGGCCTCTTCTTCTAGGACACCCGTTATTGCATTTAGGATCCAAGTTCAATATAATGTCATCCAGAGATCCTTCCCTTAATGATATCTGCAAAGCCCCTGTTTCCAAAAAGGGTCACATACACAGATAGCAGAAATTAGGACCTAGACATATCATTTTGGGGGACACAACCCAGCCTACAGCACACAGTATTATAGTTTGTTTGTTTTGGGTACCAGGATGGAACCCAGGACACATAACCACTGAGCCACATCCCCAGCCCTTTACTATGTGTTATTTAGAGACAGGGTCTTGCTTAGGCTAGCTTAGAGCCTCACCTCATTGCTGAGGCTGGGTTTGAACTTGCCATCCTCCTGCCTCAGTCTCCCAAGCTGCTGGGATCACAGGTTTGCCCCACCACACCCTGCGGGGTACTGTAGTTTGAACGAGAACTGCTGCAATCTGATTCATGACCTAGCAGGCTATGTTGGCTGTTATATGCAGAACAAACTGGAAGGGGGAAGTTAGTTGGGGAGGTTATAGCAGGAAACTGGGGCAGAGATAATGATAAACCCAGAAAAGCCACCAAGGACATTTGCTGATAGGCTGGGGTGTCCTGTTGGACAGGAACAGTTGCACAGATCACGAACCCCCAACAAGGCTACTCAGTGTCTGTGATGGATCCAGATGACACAAGACATAGTATGTGAACACAGACAATGTGGACATGGCCCAAACTCCAGCATTAACCAAACACCCCCACCCTGTCTGACATGAGCGACTGCTCCTTTGAATTCAAAGTAAAAGCAAAAATCAGCCATGGATCTAAACTTCTTCCCTCCTTCTCACCTTCTAGGCAAGAGCAATGAAAATACCCAACTGTAGGATCACCCGCTTCTTCACAGCATCCAATCCAGGGCCAAAGCTGGCCTCCTGGAGTCTTCTCCCAAGACACATGACCAAACCCAAATCCTCAATAAGCACTGGGATGCCCTCGGGTTCCCCATGACCTGGGTTTGCTGTTGTTGTCTCAAACCAGTAACTTGGTTCCACCACCAGGATGGCCCTGGTGGTCTTTGAAGAGCAAAAACTGACTCTGTGGGTAGGAGGTCTCTGCAGTTATGGGACCCCGGACTTAGAAAACCCTGCTCCTTCAACCGCTGCTGCCATATTGAAATTCTGAATTGCTTTTGGATGAGGGGCTCCCTATGTTCATGCTTTGGTAGGTCCCACAAATTTCATAGCCTGTTCTGCGGAAGGGCATGGATAGCAGCTAATGTCACAGCCACTGCGGTCAATGGGAGAAGCGGTGTATTCAGGACCCTTTGGCCAGATCTGCAGGAGGGGCTGGTACTTTGGATCTATGTAGGAGAATCCTGGGAAGGGGGAGATAACTTTTAAAATCGAATCGGGAGTGCTCTTCATCCAGATGGGACATCCTGGGGGAGGTGTCAAGTACAACCACTTTGGAGTGGGTGGACAGGAGCCAAGAGTCTCCGTCTGGTGCAAAGATACTTCTTCTCAAACATGATGAAGTGGGGATGGGATGTTACAATAATAAAATCGGTGACCTAATATCGTACTACGGTTTTGCAACCTGTCACCGTTAGCGGGGCAACCAGGCCCGGGCTCGTGAGAGCTCTAGGAGTTATTTCTTACAACTGGATGTGAATCTACAATCATCTCAAAATGAAAAGTTTAATTAAAAAAAATTGGTGACCCAGAAAATCAGGATGTGAATGGGACTTTGGCAGCTCGGGGCAGGTGTTACTGATGCGTTATTCATCAGTTCTCAAATCTGCAAGGAGTTTGGGGGCAGTTCACGCAAGCAGTGCAGCCCAGGGAAGGGGCTGTGCGTTGTGTCAGGGGGGGCAGGGGCAGCATCGGTGGCACCTGAGTGTCCTTTCTTGCGGTATCTCATTGAGGGAACAGGGAGCAGCACATGTCTCTGTGAGGGGGTGGACTTGGCTCTGGAAAGTTCTCTGCAGAAAGCAGATACCGTTCATCTCTGCAGTGGGGTGGACGCAGAGGTGTACTGGGCCTCCAAACTCTGAACAGGAGAGGTTGTATTGGCCTCCACTTTCTTGCTTCCCATGAGCCAGAGTCAGGCTGGGGAGGAGAGAGCGGGGCGCTATCTCATCTTGATATTTGCAGATTTATTCATGGAAATCCCCACACATCTGGATGAGAATATATTCCTTGCCCCTGGAGGAAATAGTTAAATGAATCGCTAAAGCACAAAATGTTCCTGTAAAATTGCTTCCATATTTTATTAGACGCAGATGAGCATGAATTATTGTGAAGTCAACTGGAGGGTGAGCAAATTGGGTTCTCGCCCCCCCCCCCCCCCCCCCGCAAACACGTCTTCCTCCCCAGAAAGTCTTGAAGGGATGCTGGTTTGGGATGGGACCATGGACTCCCTGACTCACTTCTTCATTCATCCATCCATAAAACATTTATTGGGCACCCACTGAATGCCAAGTGAGGCAAGCTAAGCTGCAGCTGGAGATATTCTTGTTGACCTACATTTAAACACCACCACTGCATGCATAACTGCCCTCTGAGATGCGCCATTTTGTTTGACTCCTTCATGGGAGATGCCTTTCTGGGAAGGAGGCTTCCTTTCATGTATCTGAGTGCCTCTGTCTTATCTGTGCCATGGAGAAGAGGGGACATTGTCATATACCCCTTCACAGTTGAAAAGCCTGATTCACATTAAATTCCTCTTTTTTATCATCTCTTCATTTGCATCCAGGTGTGAAATTTCGGGGCGAGGGGGAAATGGACACAGTCATGCACAACCGACTTTCCAGCTGCAAGGATTTTACAATCGGTTTCTCACACTCCGTGTGACTCTGCCAAGTTGATCCCTGCTGGGCATCCCGGGGTCTGGCTTCCGTTCAGAATCCCCAGCACGGGGTGGGAGGGGGCACAGGAAGACAGACTCCTCTTGGGAGATTGAGTTGAACAAGAAGGTCAGTCAGATCCCTGGACACTTGACTGTTAGGGATCGTTCACAGATCGTTCAGGCCTGCGTTGGCCTGGCTGGTGGGTGCTGGCTCAGGGGAAGGGGTGGTCTCTCACCCTATCCAGACAGGGATTCTGGGGTTGCCTGGAACACTACAAGCAGACATCTTGGGGTCCCCAAAGGGACTTCTGAAGGAAGAGCCGTAGCAGGACCTAGCACCCAGAGGGCCTGCCCCTGTTGCATGGTGGCCGGTTTGGCTGTGGGGGATTCTCACTGCAGCTGGTGGGCTTGAACAATGTAATTCTTTTTTTGGGAGGGGGTAGAGGTCACCAGGGACTGAACTCAGGGACACTTGACCACCGAGTCCCATCCTCAGTCCTATTTTGTATTTTATTTAGAGTCAGGGTCTCACTGAGTTGCTCAGTGCCTTGCTTTTGCTGAGGCTGGCTTGGAACTCATGATTCTCCTGCCTCAGCCTCCTGAGCCACTGGGATTATAGGCATGCACCATTGCACCTGGTGAGCAATATGATTCTTGCCATAGATTTGGAGGCTGAGAAGCAGCTCATCCAATCTAGTAATGCACCTCAGTCCATGCAGCAAGTTTTGGAGATTGGATCTGAACTTGCTATTCTTCCTCTACAGGAGCTATATGTTGATCCCTTTCAAAAGTAAAAAATTGTTATTAAAAAGGTGTATTTGAGCCTCTGTAAGGAGGCTCCTAGGCAGGAAGGGGTACCCTCTGCTGTGTTTGCTCTTGGGTTCAATCATGGAGAATGACTTGGAATTGGTTAGAAATGAAATCCAACCCAGTTCGCCCCAATTCCAGAGGGTCCAGGGAATAGGTAAGGGAGCAGGGGGTGTCTGTTTCTAGTTTACTAAGTACTCAGCCAAAGCCCTTTTGGTTCAAACTTTCAGATTCATACTGGGAAAAAAAATATCCAAAATGTCCATTTTGGTAAATGGAGTAGAAGAAATATTCTTGCATCTTTACTTGAATAATTGAGGATCCTTTCTGAGCCAGGGTTTTACCTGTGAACTTTCAACACACTGCTTTCTGAAAACACCCTGGGTGCAGGGTTGGGGGACCCAGGCTGGAGTGTGGCTCAGATCCCTACCAGCTGGGTGACTGCACCCAAGTAACTATGTGCTTAACTGCAATTCTGTCCTCTTTGTCAGTGGCCGAGAGCAGCATTTGGCTCATCCAGGAGTTAAATGAGATGATCCGTCTTCTCACTTTGCTTCTCCCATCACCGTGCAAACACGAATTGCTGTAATCAACCAGGGGGCCGGGTGCAGAAGGAGACAGGACCTCTTGTCTTCTTAAGTCCAGGTTAAAAGCTGGGCATGGCGGTATACACTTGTAATCCCAGCCCCTTGGGGAGCCGAGGTAGAAGGATCCCTTTAACCGGAGCATTTGAAGTCAGCTTGGGTAATATAGTGAGACCCCTGTATTTAAAAAAAAAATCCAGGTTCGCTGTAAAGATTCTTTTCATTCATCACTTGCAGGCACAATCTTTGGTTTCCTGGTGGAGAAGAGTGGAGAGCTGCTGGGGTCCAGGTGAGGGCAGAGTTCTTGGGAGTGGGAGTGGACAGAGGAGTCCAGACAGCGGCCAGGGATGAGGGATTCAAAATGTCAAAGGATGGGAGAGGTCTGCTAAGAAGCATTAATATGTAATGTTCTTTGAAAGCTGGAGCTCAGAGCAGGTATCATTTGAGTTTTTATCTAATGGGTATGTTCTTTGGAAGGTGATGCCACATTGGAACGAGGCCATGCGAGGCCCAGGGATCAATTTGGATTGCATTTAGGGAATGATGATCAGAATTCTGGAACTCAGGCATTGTGTTCAAGGTGCACTGCTTATTAAAATAATCACCCAAGATCTGAGCTGTTAGATAATTTGTTCTTTCTTTCTGTTTCTTTTTTTATACTGAGGATTGAACCCAGGGGTGCTTAACCACTGAGCCATGTCCCCAGCTCAGGGCCTCGCTAAGTTGCTAAGGCTGGCTTTGAACTCGTGACCCTCCTTTCTCAGCCCCCTGAGCCGCTGGGATTACAGGCATGCACCTCCATGCTGGGCATAATTTTTTTTTTTTTTAATAAAGAATTACCCGTCAGGCATGGTGGCATATGCCTGTAATCCCAGTGACTTGGGAGGCTGAGGCAGGAGGATGGCAAGTTCAAGGCCAGCCTCAGCAACTTATAGAGACCATATCTCCAAAAAAAAAAAATAAATAAAATAAATAAATAAATAAAATAGGGGGAGGGATGGGGAAGTAAGGAAGGAAGAAATTTTCCGGTTTCCTGGAAATGAGCTTCTAAACCCTTGGCATTTCCAGGTGTTAGGAATGTGTGGTGCCCATGGCGTGACCCTTGAACCACACCTGAGTCAGCACCTGAGTAATGCTAATGCGAAGACTCTGGAGGGGGCCTGGCCATGCCAGAATGACCAAAGGGTGAGTGGGGGCTCTGAGCCACTGGCATTAGTTGCATGGGGCAGCGTGGGCTGGAGATGGACTTCAGTGACGTGGCCAACGAGTCCATTGATCACATCCAGGATGAAATCCTCATATTACCCTGGGCACTGAAGAGTGGTGGGGCTTCTGGTTGGTGAACTCACGGGTGTGCCAGATTCCACGGGGGAACATCGCCAGGGACTCTGCATCTGAGACCTTCCTAGGTCTTGCTTGATGCGTCTCTTCATTTGGCAGAGTCTGATCTGCATCTTCCATAATAAAACTAATTGTGAGTGTGGGACACACCGAGTCCTAGGGGTCATTCTGACTCATGGCCAGTCGGTTGGAAGACCCCGACCTGGGGTTGGTTGGTATGAGGTAGGGACAATCGCATTGGGACCTGTGCCTGAAACCCGGTGTTTAGTGTTGGTGTGGCCGAAAGCTTGGTCCTTGTCCCCAATGCCAATCCAACATCAAGGACACTGTTTTGAGAAAAAGGAAAAAGAAGGTTTATTGCTTTGCTAACAAAGGAGAAGCACAGGGGACACCTGTCCCAGAGGCTGTGATTCTGCCCATCAGCAGGAACAAGGGGCTTTGCCAGAGGTGACTCGAAGGCCACCTCCCCCGTGTTCTGTGTCTGGAGTGGTAACTCACTTGTTAATTTGGGAGAGAGTCATTTCTGAGATCTTCTGGTGCCGTCCCCAAGGTCTGGATGACTTTGTTCCCATGGTGGGTGTGGGTTCAGGGACAGAGACCTGCCTAGGAGAGGGGAAGAAAGGTGATCCTGTTTCCCCTGAGATCAGGGAGGGGGCGAGGAAGAGAAAGAAACGTATCCATTTTAAAAATAAGTCACAGTGACTGAGCAGCCAGGGCTACCTTCAAGGCACAAAGTGACCACGGTCATGTTGGAACTTGGTGGCCACAGTGCTGGAGTTGAGAGAGAGACCACTGCGACTTATTTCATTTTCAACCAAGAACCGTTTCAGGAGGGCTCATGGTGGGTGCCCTACGCCACACCTAACTGTCAAGTGCCACGTCACCCAAGGGATTCACAAACCTTAGAATACTACTCATGTCCAAGGGACGATGCTGTGAAAAGCACCTTGAGATCAGAGTGACTGTGTTTGGAAGGAGGCACGGAACTTCACTCCGCCAGGGCAGTGTAGACGCTCCACGCGGTTCAGGGGTGGACAGTTGGGACATTTAGACTCAGAGGACCTGGGGCTTCTCAGAGTCCCTCGAGGCAAGAACTGGCTGAAGGAGCTGGGATTTCACAGCACAATGGAGTGGCTCTTGGAATCTCATGTTAGACTCACCAGCTGGTCATAGGAAAGGACCTGCCCGTCCCGGGCCCTGAAAGCCCCCTCCTCTGTATCTTGGCAGGCAGCAGGGCCACCTCCCGCCCCAGGGCTGAGGGTGTCGGGCCTTCCTCTCCCACTTTGCAGCCGAGCCTGTGGCCCGAGCTCAGCTAGTCAGAGCCTTGGGCTGGGGATGTGTGTCGGGGGAGGGTCCTTTTGGCCGGTGACGGTGGCTGCATGAGCCCTGTCATTTCAGAGGCACCCATGAGCTACCCAAGTGCACCCGTGTGAACTCCCCGACCCCCTCTCTCATCCCTTTCCTTCTCTGGTCAACTTCTCTGGCCATTTCTCTTGCTGGCTACTCAGAAGCCGGCTTACCTGAGAAGAAATGGAATCGTGGCCAGGCTCAGACTGCTGGGACCTGGGTGGGTCCAGGGAGCAGGGACAGAGGCCCCGGGAGAGGACAACCAGGGCTGGGGATGAGCAGGGGCCTGGGTCTGCGTGGTGGGCAGTGGAGGGGCAGGGTGTCGCCCTGGGTCTGCTGGGCGATGGTGGCTGATTTTCCACGCTGCCCTTCCTCGCCCAGCGAACCAAGCTGGATAGGGGCTGCCAACACATCCTTCCTGCTCGGATCCTCCCACTGGCTGTGTGTCCCTGGGGCATCATCTCCCTCTCTGTGCCTCTGATGTAGAGGCATTGGGGTAAACACTGGTCAGTGTCTCGGCAAGCCTGCAGTCAGAGGAGACAGTCTCTACAGGATGTGATGACCGAGGTGATGCAGAGGGGACACTGGCCACTTCCCTGGACTCTGACCTTTAGGTGAGCATCAGAGCAGAGTGACCTTGGTTGTAAAGTCAAAGAGCATCCTCATAGGACATCTGGAGAATTCCATCTGCACAGGGGCTATGCCACCTGTCCCACATGTTCCCCAGCTCCTATGAGTCATGAGACCCCTTCAAATCCCACCCTGCCACCACCAAGGAGCAGGTGAGTGGTAAAACGTCTCAGACCTCTCCCTCAAGTCTTCGAGCTCTTTCCTTTGGGATGGGGGACACGGGGGTGTCTGCAGCCCTGGGTGCTGGCTTCGGTGATCCGCCAGGCCCCTCCTCACCTTTGTCCCCGGGAGTCTGGGACAGTGTGCTCCTAGTTCTCGGGCAGCCTGCCTGTGTCCCCGAGGCTGGTCAGAGGCCATCATAAGAGGCCTCCTCTCTCCTTGCTGACTTTGGAGCAGGGCTGTCCCTGGGTAGGGGAGACCAGAGGAGCTGAGCTCAGATCTTCCATAGGGGCCAACGGAGGAAGGGGACAAGGTGAAAAGTTACAAAGGGACAGCTTCCCAGCGAGTCCCCCCCAGGCCAGCCCCGGGGCACAGCTGGCTGGGGGAGCGGCTCCTGCAGGTGGGTATAAATAATAAAACGCAGCAGCTACTTATGGAACTGCACCAGAGGGGTTTGTAGATTCTCTTTGATTTCTCCTTTGCACCCAGGGAGGGCTGGCCCATGGCTTTCCCACCCACAGGGGAGCTAAGATGCCTGGGGGCTGTTTGGGTGGGGTAGGGACAGCGGCTGGGGGTCTCGGTTGAGCCGGCTGCCTTAGAAGCAGCCCAACACCCAGTCGTGTCCCCTGGTGTTCCCCAGCCTGGGGGGGTGTTGCTACCGGGGACCCTGTTGTCCACGCCAGACAGGGGCTAAGGTGGGCTGTGGCCGGAAAGCCGCTAGGAAGGCGTATGACCACCCCCTGGGGGGTCGACAGAGTGAATCTGTTGGTTACCCAGGTGGAGGGGGGAAGCTCAAAGGGTAAAATCTCACTCTGGAGATTCGCAATGTTGGAAACTGCAAGTGCTTCTGTGGTTGGGGAGACCAAGGAGGAAGTGGGTTTTATTTCTTTTTTTATTTTTGGTACCAGGGATGGAACCCAGGGGTGCTTCACCACTGAGCCACATCCCCAGACCTTTTTATGTTTTACTTAGAGGCAGGATCTCTCTAAGTTGCTTAGGCTGCCTTTGAATTCATGATCTTCCTGCCTCAGCCTCCTGAGCTGCTAGGAAGTGTGCGGCTTATTTCATTTGGTGCAAAGTCCTCAGGGTTCCTCCATGTTGTGGTACATGTCAGAATGTCCTTCCTTTTTATTTTTTTAAGCATTTTTTGCGATGCTGGGGATTGAACCCAAGGCTTCCTCCATACTAGGCAAGTGCTGTACCGCTGAGCCACACCTCCAGTCCTTCCTCTTCCTTCTCAAGGCTGAGTAATATTCCACCGTGTGGACAGACTGTTCTGGTTTACCTGGTCACCCATCAATGGTTACTTGTGTGCTCACAATAGCTGTAGGCTATTGTGAATAATACTGATTCTGAGGTGCCTATACAAATATCCCTTTGAGACCCTGTTTTTAATTCTTTGGGGTACGTACTCAGAATGGAAAGTGGATTAAACGGTAACTCTGTTTTTGATGGTTCAAGGAGCCACCATACATTTTTCCCCAGCCACGGTGAACAAATGTCCCAGTTTCTCCACATCCTTGCCATCACTTTTTTTTGTTTTGTTATTCATTCAGTTATTTTTTGGGTGGTGGGCATCTTCCTGGGCGGGAGGTGGTATTTCCCTCTGGTTTTGATCTGTGTCTTCCTAATGCTGAGTGTTTTAGTCAGGTTTTGCTTTGTTTTGCTGCTGCGGCCAAAAGACCTGACAAGAACAATTTTAGAGGAGGAAACATTTATTTGGGGCTCATAGTTTCAGAGATCTCTGTCCACCGGCGGCGACTCCATGGCTCTGGGTTCGAGGTGAGGCAGAACATCAAGGAGAAAGGTGTGAGAGTGGCGAGCATCTCATGGCTTAGTCACAAGGAAACGAGAGAGCTCTCCTCACTAGGAACAAAACATATACCCCAAAGGCAGGAGCCCAGCTCCTCCAGCTCCTCCTACCTGCCCACAGCTCCCACCCACTTAAAGCCATCAACGGAGGAAGTCACCTGTTCCACTAAAAGTCTCGTAACTTGATCATTTCACCTCTGAACTTTCTTGCGTTGCCTCACACTTGATCTTCGGGGGGTCACCTCCTCTCTGAAACATAACAGTGACGTGCAACGTCTTCTCAGGTGCTACGTGGAGGCTACCTAGTGCCTTGTAAGGGACC